ACTGCGCCTCCAGCTCGCGCTCTCGCCGTGCTGCTTCCTCCGTCTCCCGCGCCAGGCGAACGGCGGCCTCAGCCGCCGCGTGCGCCTGCGCCTGCGCATCAATCAGTTGCTGTTGTTGCTGCTGTTGTTGCTGTTGCTGCTGCTGCTGCAGTAGCTGCAGCTGCTGTTGCTGTTGCTGTTGCTGTTGCTGTTGCTGTTGCAGCAGTAGTAGCTGCTGTTGTTGCTGCTGCTGCAGCTGCTGCTGTTGTTGCAGTTGCAGCTGCTGTTGCTGCTTAGCCTTCTCATCATTCTTTTCTGGCATCTTGATCGTTGCGGGGGAGGAGGCCCGCCTGCTCGCCGGTGGGGTCCGAACGCCCGATGAGGTCACAGCCGAGGGCGAGACGCGTGGGCTTGGGGCCCGGAGTGCGCCTGGGGCAAATTTCTTGCGTGCGGCAATGGCCGCTGGCTTCTTGAGTCCCGCAGGAATGGCAGTGGAGACCGAGGGCCCACCGGAGCCCAGGTTAAACAAGGGGGCAGTAGGGAGGCCGGATTCGGTCATTGTAGTGGTAGAGTCAGCCGCGGCCGGTGTTGAGCTGCGGGAAACAGTCGAGTCAGATGAGTCCCTGCGCAGGAGACGAGACTCGGACTCGAGTTCGGTCTCGTCGCTGTTTGGGGTGGCGCGTGGATCACGGCCATAGAGAGAGAGGCGAGAGGATGGGGTGTCGTAAAGAGAATTGGGACGCGAAGACGACGGGGTGGTAGTTGTAGGAGTAGTATCGTAAAGCGAGCTGGGCCGGGAGGAAGGGGCCTGCTGCTGGAAAAAGAGCTGTGAAGGGCTAGGAGGGGCGTTGGGAATTGAACCTCGGAGCTTGGATGTTCCTGTTGAGGGTATGGAGATCCCCGCACTTGTGGTCGAGACGGACGGAATGCCAGGAGTGGATTGAACGCGATATCGCATGCGCGACTTTTGATGCGCAAGCGGATCACCTCGGATAGTTGACGCCGAGGGGATCATGGCTGGCGAAGTTTGTAATTGCATCAACGCCAATGGCTGCAGAGGTGTGTGTGGGGTGGACGTGACAGACGAAAAGGACGAGGATGGAAGGGTCCCGGACGCGGTGCTCGGGGTGGGGAGCGTGCGTGAAGGCTGTTTAAGACCAATGCGGGGGCTGGCAAGCTTGGAGATGCTACCTGTGCCGTTGTTAGTGGCAAGACTAGTTTCCATGACGGTGATGGTAGTGGTAGTGGTGCTAGATGCATTCTCTTTAAACGAGGACGGCGGGGGGATGGACATGGAACGAGTTTGGCCCAGTGTCTGTAGCGCGGACGACGACGACGCACGCTTGTTCCCCCGCAACATCTCAAGCTCGCTACGCGGGCGCCGCGGCGCTATCCGTGAGGGCTGTGGTTGCGGCTGCTGTTGTTGTTGTTGTTGCTGTTGCTGCTGCGCCACCGCGACGACAGGTATCTCTTCGCCGGACGGCGAGGGCAGGTGTGTCTTAGCTTGCACTGTCGCGGCGACGACTGGCGCTTCCATCGGCGCCGGCTCAGTCGTCCGCACAAAATCGGTAACGGGCCCCACCTCGTGCTGGGGCGACGCCGGTGGCGTCAGCGACAGGCTGGTCTGAATGGTATTGCGCCGCATCTTCTTGGTAATACTGGTAGAGACGGGTGGAGTGATACTGGCGGCCACCTGGATCTCCACGGTCGGCGCCTCCTCGTCTTCTTTGTGCGTCGTGGACGTTCTGGACGAGGAGCTCGTGGGCGTGATGAGCGATGGCATGGGCGATAGTATAGGGCCCGGTGCCGGCGATGGGGCGTGCACTCGCTTCTCATCAGAACTTTTTGATTGCGGCTTGGCAATGTCAACGCTATGCGGTACCGCCTCCCTAGCCTCTTCGACATGCCCTCCCCGCGCTACAACCTGCGCTGTCGCCTCTGCTAGCGCTCGCATTGAATCCTGCTCGCTCTGCTGTACCAGTGTCACCACAGCTTGTGTCTGCTCAGCTACCGTCTGCTGATGCGCCTCTATTTCTTCCTTAGATTGAAGGGAAGGGGGATATTGCTGGTCCTTTGGTAGTGCACCCGTTGTTGTTGTTTGCGGGATAATGGTCGAGACAGCCCATTGCCGGGCGCACTGCTGCTGATCTTCCTCGAGCTCGTGTTCCTGGGACGTGGGATTGGAGTCGGAGTCGTCATCGTTATCATCGTCTGTATCGGAATCTTCGTCCTCTTCCTCTTCCTCCTTTCCCTCCTCCTCTTCGTTGAGTATGGCTTGTCTTAGTTCCATGTGCTGGTGTAGGGTGCTCGGCCGTGAGGTCGAGACTGTGGGTGAAGCGGAAGGTATGCTAAGTGAGGAGGAGGTGGAGTTATTGGGGAGTGGAGGGCTTGGGAGGTCGAGCGGAGACCGGCCAACGCCATTTTGGTGGATATTGTCGGTGCTCTGACGGCGCCCAAAGAGGTTGCTAATAGGAAGGTGGGAGAGCATTGTGGTTGTGGACATGAGTATGTACGTGTGTGTGAAATAAAAAAAAAAAAAAAAACAGAAAAGGTTTGGGTTGAGGTTTTTTTTTTTTTTTTTTTTTGTTGTGGGCCCGAAAATAGAAGAGGATAAAGAAGGAGTGGCGAAGTGAACTGGGGCGTTGTCGTCGTTGTTGTCGTTGTCGTTGGTGGTAGCAACGTTTTTTCCCTTGGCCGATGCACAAGTCCTACCAGGTCGAGCAGCTGTTTCGCTTTGATGTGGATTGTGAAACGGTGCCTACCTTAGTCTTAGTTTCTTTTCCTTCTTGTCCTTCTTGTCGGATCTCTTAGACTCTTCGTCGCTATTGTCTTCTGGCGTGGGATGCATATTCACGTGTCAGAAGGAATGAGGTTTGCACGGGTGTGGCGGTGCGTGAAGGAACAGGCAATATATAGAATAGAACGGGGAAGGGCGTGAACGTGATAGCGCGTGAGTTACCTTTGATAGAACCTCCGTCGTCAAACGAGACGCTGTCATCTTCAAAGTCTTTCCTACTACCAATACTAAGTTTGAAGAAAGCGAAGGAGGATTTGTCCTTCTTGCGAACAGAGGACATTTGTTAGGATGTGAGGGCGGAGAGAGGGAAGGGGGAAAGGAGTAGCGGATAGCACGATTGTTTTAGGATGTTTACAGCGAATTATTGTTTTTTTTTTTTTTTTTTTTTTTTTTTTTTTTTTTTTTTTTTTTTTTTTTTTGTGATGGTTTTAGTTCATTCAACGGTGGGAGCGGAGATGGGTATTACTTATCAGGCAAGAGTATTTTCGTGAGCAGCTACCCGTTTTGAAAGCGTCACATTCGTTTTCCGTATAGGGAACAAACCCAAACACGAAAAAGATCACATCTTTTTTTTTTCCTTTCATTTTTGACATTGGGGCATTGGGGGTTTATTATTATTAACATTCTGTCAGCCCCGCACTGATCCTCCTCTTTCGCCTTCCCCCCTCCCCTCTCCCCACACACCCCCCACACCCCTTCCACCACCATCCCACTTCCCCCTTATTCCATTGCAAACCCGTGCCTAATTCCCTGATTCCAACACTCTCGTCGCCACGCATCAAACCCGCCCTACCGCCCTAACCTTGACTGGACCTGGACTTGATTAGCATCTGTCACATGCCCAATCGCCTGTTTATTGTGTCTTGCCTTTTTATCAGACCCGTGATCTAGTAGGTCTGGCATTGGGCTATCCAAACTCTACACGCTATCATATATCTTTCTCTCTTTTTTTTTTTTCTCGAACCATCTGCTTTCGACGCCTTCATAAATCTAAATTCAATGCTCCTCATTAATAATAAATGTTACGCATGCGTCATTTGTTTTGAATGAGAGATCGTCAATCGCATGGATCGTGCTACATTCGCAAGATTCATTTTGAAAAAGGGAAGAAAAAAACTAAAAAGAAGCCTTTTTTTTGTTTTTTTTTGGTGAGAGCCAAGTTTTTCGCCGCTAAAACCAATAGAACGGTCCACGCATTCACCCAAATTCGTCTGACCCTCCCCTCGGGCGGGGTAAGGAAAGCTGCGCCATGCGCCATTCGTCATTTGTCATTTGTCAAATGTGCGTCTCGCATAGGACATTGCCTCACCCAATTGATAAATCCGGCGCCCGAACCACACAAACACACTACCCACGCCTATCCATACCTCACGACAAACAATGCAAACAATGAAAATCCCTTCCCGGGATGTACCCCCCCTCTATTCTTTGTATCCCTTTGCCCACTAAAATACCCCGTCCTCCACCTCCTCTCCCCCCCTTCACCGTGCGGCCTCCTCCCTGTACACCCGGCCGTGCTTGCGTGCCTGCGGCCCCCTCCCCGTATGACCGAATCTCGTGGAACCATGATTGTGGGATACTAAGGGAAAATTTTTATTGTTATTGTTGTTGTGAATGTAGTATAATTATGATTGATTACATTGGGACGTGCTGGTTTGTTTCTTGTTTTGCGTTGGTTTCAGCGCCTTTTTTTTCAACAACGTTGCGTTATTGTTAACAAAACCTGTTTTAGTCCAGTCGTTCAAATTCTCTTCGGCGGTACTAAATACCCTTGATCCGCACGCACGCTTTTTTCATTACTGAGCTCGTGTTAGCAATTTGCCTGTGCTTTCAGCTTTTTTAGGGGGGCTGCATCAAACTCTCCGATATACGACGGAAGGCAACGTATGCAAGCAAACCCCCCCTTTTTCACAAAAAAAAAAAAAAAAAACAAAAACAAAAATAAAAAAAAAAAAAAAAAAAAAGCCTCCCCCTTTGGTCATACATGAAGGCATCATTACGATAGATTTAGGGCAACTGAGAGAAAAAATATATATATATCTTCTCAAGTCACAAGGTTCCACGGTTCCACGGGTTGCTTGTAATTAAAGTGAAAATAGAAAGCCTTAATGAACACAAGATCTATTTGATCAAAAGGACCCTTTATGCATTATGTCATTATTCTTTAGATTTGGGAGGATTATTTTTTTATATAGTTTCTTAAATAAACTTCTTAACAACACATTCTCGAGTAGTATAGTGGTGAGTATCCCCGCCTGTCACGCGGGAGACCGGGGTTCAATTCCCCGCTCGAGAGCTTTTTTTTTATTTTTATTTCTCTATAATATACTAGCTTTGATAATTTTTACTTTCTCATATAATTAAGTATAATACGAGTAGATTTCTTAAGAGAGTAAAGTAGAAAGAGCAACTGATAGTAAGATTACGCAATAGTAGGATACCGCTTTCATTGCTCAACGTTCTGACACTATAGTGGGAACAAACGTTTCAAGGGACAACCCGGCGACCAAGCAACATCCATGGAACGTCTACAGCGGTTGTCCGGTTATACCCATCCATTTCATCGCCTTTAGGCAACGGATTCTCAAGGGATCCTCAGCCAATATCCCAAAGGTTTCATTGTAAAAAGCCATTAACAAAAGCAAATGGTCGTGGTCAAAATTATTTAGGTCGTTAAGATTTGCCGGAAATATTCCTTCAGCGATCTATTCAAAAAAAAAAAAAAAAACAAAATAATAAGCATTCGAAAAATAGTATGAAGACAATAAACCACAGTACTCACTCACCTGCTTGACCATGGGAGTAAACGCCACTAATAGCGAGTCGTCGTTAGCGGCATAAATGTTTCTCCTCCTGATTTTCGCGTTGTCCATCTTGGCTTCTAGCCCAGCGACTCTCGCGGTTAGCCCCGCGACATTCGCGGTTAACCCCGCAACATTCGCAACTAAAGCAGCTGCCCAGGGCGGTGTGGCAGCCCCAGCACCATCCTACTGAGAGGTGTAGACGTGTAGATATTTTCTGTTCAGTGAAATTTAAATAAACGCTCCACCCAAGAGCATTAACTGACCTTCCAATCCGATGGCGAGAGCACGGATATCCGCCTCTGAAACTTCTGCCTGAGTAACAGGAGCTCCTAATTCTAGCAATAATGACAATAATGAATGAGATATAAAACCAGCATCAAGCACTTAAATATTTCTCAACGAATACCTACCTAGTATTCTTCTACGTTTTCGTGACTCCGACAGAGCCACGCTGGCATCTACGTTGCTGCAAGGAGCACCGGCGGCGATGGCAGGCGCAGGTACGCCAAGGACGATTTTGGGCATCCTTGCTCGCAACAGGGTAATAAGGCAGCATAGGCACAAATATAGGGCATTTTCCACGATGTTATTATTCAGCTGTGTGAAGAGAACGGAAGAGTTGAAGAAGGAAGAAGGAAGAAAGAACTACTCGAAGAGATAGATCCGTACGGTCCGGTTTCGCTTTCGGTTTAGCCACGGTACGGGCCTTCATTGTCATAGAGCCATCATTCTCATTCCTATCATCGACATTCGTCATATCGAGACATCTTATGACTCTGCTATTCAAAAAATCACTGAAAGGAGCTGATGCACGTCTAATCTCTCTTTTCTCTAAAAGCATGCACGCAATTGCAAATCCTCTTTCCTTCAAGAGCATGCACAATTCTTCCTTTCACGAGCATATGTGCGAGATGGCTGAATCAAAAGCTGATGCTTCAAAATTTAATTATAGTCCATCTCAATAAGCATGAATGAATGAATGCACACAATCTCTCAATCTTTATATATACATACATACTTATATAAACAAATGATTATATTATAGCAACTACTCACCATCCTCTGATAATTCTATATGTCATATCTCCCTAGTGAAGTTGAGGTTCAAGTTGGCAGCAACAGCAGTGGACGAGGTGAGGGTGGTGCGAGTCAGAAGCCTAGCGATGGAGCAAATCCATGGAGCGGCGCCCCATGTTGGCCTCTGGGAACAGCGAGTTGTTAGAGTTAGTACGGATGTTGCCAGCAGAGAGCTTGCGATAGGGCTGTTGCTGGTAGAGCTGGTCATTTCCATTGCCAGTGCGAGGGTTGAGGCATATAGGGGAGCCCGAGGCGCTGTAGCCGTCGGGGGTGAGAGAAAGTTCAGAAGAGACAGGGCAAAGCCAGAAAAAATGGAAGATCTGTTGTGGGTACAGCAAATATAATTTGGTACTCTTTATTTTTAAATTCAGTCTTCTAGATTTGATGAACAAAAAGAGAATATACATCACATTATCGGGGAAGTCGAACATAGAATGCTGTTTCTGGACTGATATGGTCCGCGTGTTTAAGTGAGACTCGATGAATAGGCTTCTGTGGCCACTCGAGAATTTCTTAGAAGAGACAAAGGCAGGGCGCTTAAACCAAGGTGGCACGGGGATTGTAACGCGGCATGGTTGTTGACAAAAGGAAATGTGTACGAAATGAAATATCAAGGTATGTGTACAAACATCAGAGTGGGTGAGAAAGAACATGTACTTATATATTTTACCTAAATATTTATGATCGTTTTTCCTAAAAAAAAAAAACATTCAGAATCTTCAGAACCAACCTTTCCAAAACCCAAACCAAAGCAATGCAATGCAAGAACTCAAAGAAACACCTCCTGTACGTTTTCTATATTACGAAAGTGCCTCAGACTTGAGGTGATGACTTGAGATGTTGTTTTACTGATACTTGTCTCTAAACTCAGATTGAAAATGGCGTGGTGAGGTTGATTGAAGACGGTATGCTGTCTATATTGTTTTTTCCCACATTTGAAGCCATAGTAGCGCCTCTGATATTCAGAGAGCTTCTGAAGGGTGTTCGCCATGCACGAATAGTCTGGTTCATTAACTGATATAATTAATTTTGCGTACATTTCCTTGCACGCCGCAAAAGATCAATTAACAGCATAGTTGCTGTGAAATTGAAATTGAGCTATAATAAATACACTCATACATAATAAATATGCTTATACACTCATACCTTGAAGCTAATATATATAACTGGGTACTTGCAAAAATGCTCGTCAAACAAATCCTTTTCTTATTTCAGAATTTGGCGTCTCTAAACAGTTCTTATTGTTGTCAGCATGGATGGGGATGGCAAAGAAGTTCTGCAGCATGGTGTGGCTTGCCAAAGTGCCTTGCTTGTATGGCTTTCAAGAAAACACGCTGCCATTCGGGATTTTCTACGACTTATCGTTTGTCACATTTTTGGAACTGAGTTTTATTAAATGCGACGAGATGGGCTATTATTAGCTTACGAGTGAGCGAAACGCAGCTCTTTACAATGTCCTGGGCCATCATTGACGGGCTTTGGCAATAAGAAATAAATGGTCAAGAATAGCAAAATCGTTCGACAGCCTACATCCCAAATTAGGGCTATGTAATGTAGTTAGCGTAGTGCATTCGGGAGAAATTCAGCTATAACAGTAATCAGTTAACAGTAATCAGTTAGAAGCTTATACATCTCTTGAAACACATCAACTTTTGTCACAACAGTTATATTATCCAACGGTTTAAAACTGATGGCGCATCATATTTTCAAATTGCTGATCGATTGTATTGTCTTGTCTCAATTGGTAGTTTGATCCACCAATGCCAGCACCGCATTCTGGGCAGCGTGATTCTTCATGCGCCAGACCACAGTCGATGATAACGTACTGGTAGGAATCAGTAAACGAGTCAAATTATTAGTAACCGTTTTACTTTTCTTCGAAAACACAATATGTTGAAGATATAACTTACGGTATGACCATTTGGGCATTGATACCAATGCCCAGAACCACGAACATCCTGTGAAATTGCTCTGAAGAGCTCGACCTTCTCCTGAAGAGTCACGACAGAATAGAAGGTTCCGCTCTTTGCCGTGGCGATGGCATGCTCCATTCTTTTAGCCAACTCACCCAGCCGCGTGAAACACTCATCTCGGATCCCCAGCGGGCACGACTGGTAAAATATTGCCTTCTCAGTGTCAAACCACGTACTCAGCCGGTCTACATTGTAGGTGCGCTCACTCCGATTCGTGTCATTCATCGGCTTACGTCCTAGCAACTGCACCTTCTTGATTAAAGCTTCCATCAGCGACAGATGAGCATATGCACCATGTCTGTAGTGCTTGGTTTCACTCGCAGCTGTCCTCAATTTCTCGACGTGGAGCAGGATGCTTTCGATCAGATCTTCGGTAAACCAATACCAGCCCGACGCCACGTTTTCGGCATCCAAGACCGCGGCCGCTTGCTGATGCAGGAGGAGTTGAATATTGACAATTTCCTGAAGAGACTCGAGGAAGGAAGAGCCATCGAAGCCCCTAGGAGGAATGCCGCACTCAAGGATGCATCCCTCGATGACTGAGAGTGTTGTTGCCGGAATTTGAGGTTTTTTACTGTCGGTGTCCGCCACATGGCCAAATTCACCAATCGCTCTCGACGTTTTGGCGCGGAACAAGTGCGACACCGCGGCATCAAAGAGCTTTTTTGATGGAGAGTTAACGGAAGAGGAAATGATAACCTCAAACGCTTGGTAGCATTTCATTAGGTTCTTTATATGCGCAATCCACAGCTTCTCCTGCTCTTCCGGGATGCCGTACTTCTTTATCTGGAAAAAGAAATCTTTTGGTAAAACATGCTTCGTGGCTGGGAGCGATCGCAGTTTTCTAAAAGCTAGGGCGGGCTCATAAACAGCTCCTGAAGGGGTAAATTTAGCCGCAGACACGACGAATGTAGATTGAACATTTTCTATTGTATCCTGAGCTATCTGCAGGTGTGATTTTGCCTCTTTGACTTTCGTATTTTGTACCTTCAAATTTTTTTTTGAGCGCATGCTCAACTGTGCATATTTGATGCGTCGGCCATATCGGAATAGCTCCACGATCGGTCTCCGGCATAGGTGACACGACTGTTGCTTAACCTCATCTCCAAGTAATGGTAGGCAGGCTGTAAACACCGAAGACGTTTCCCCAGCAACCATCGACTCTACGTAATACCGGTTCAACTCCATTAAACCATCCAGGCTTGACATGAGCAATGCATGGCCACACGACAAAACTAAAAGCGGATCCTCGTTCACATCTACTTCGCGCAAGGGCTGCTGCAAGATGACGTCCACAATCATATCTTTAGTATTTTCGTCCGCGCACACAACACAAAACTTTGTTGGCGGGCAGACTTCGCCACACACAGACGGGCACTGATGACCACACTCGAGCAGTTTGTCACAGCGCCTGTTGCACGGCAACCGATTGCAAGGCGCCC